TCTAGACAGTAAGGCAGAGAACTAGTGAAACGGTAAGAATTATGCCCAGCATAGCCAAGAGATAAGTTTTGCATATCCACCCACTGTCAATCTCAAAACAATGAGAAATAACCGCATTGAGCCCCCCCTTTCCGGGACATTTCTAATATTTAGGAATCATATCTATTCTCAACATATTTACGAATGAGTTATTCAATCTGCTACACGATTTTCTTCCTTGAGATTATAAATTTATTCATATTGATTTAATATATGCTGACTTATATTTAATATATACTAAACTTATAAGTTTAAACTACGAGTCCTAAAAATTTTTCCCTTTGAAATCGTTTAGTTAAAATTCGTTGAAGTGCTACAAAATATGAGAATCAGATAACCATGTAATTGCAGAAAAGGGGTTCTTGCTATCAATACAATGAACACGCAATTCAGTAGAAAGGTCATGCATATGCAAATGTCAGGAAAAAAACGTCACAGGCTACGTGATCGTATGCAAAACGCGTGCGGTCGGCGCGCTCCACTCGAGACTACCATAAAAGGAAGGACGGAGACGCAATTAAAGACATTCGCTGCAAATACAAGTAAAATCTTTCGTGAAATATATTTTTTTATTGGCTAGAAGAAATCATCTGGATGACTTCACGAATGTTGAAGAATGATCGGAAATCTGGAGGAGGGGCGTAAGTGTGACCAGTATAGTGGCTGAAGAGTTCGGAAGTCAACAAAAGTGTCGTTTTCGCGGGCTTGGAAAGCCCTTCCAAACCCATAGGTACAGGCTGTTAGAAAGGTTGGTGGTAGCCGCTCCAAGGACAACCAACTGCAGCAGATAACCGATATATCGTCCTACAGGCGAAAAGAGCCCCAAAACCAGTCAGCAAGCTCCACAACTCAGCAAGTGTGTACAGCAACCGGCGACCAATTGTTCGTGGTTTACTGTGTCCAGACACCTTCACAAAAAGATGGCCTATTCGCTCGCCGTCCTGAACGATGCATTTCCCTTTGAAAGTTGGCCATCGGCGCCACCGTTTAGAGTGGTACAAGGAGCGCGAAAACTAGGCATCTCATCAATGGAGTCGTGTCCTCCTTACGGATGACAGTCGTTTTAGTGCCTAAGCGATTCTCAACGCCAACTTATTTGGAGAGAGGTAAAGACACGGTTTAATCTCAGTAACATCACGGAAAGAGACCATTACGGTGTCCTGGAGATCTCGTCTGGGGTGGCATTATGCTGAACGGGCGGACAGAGCTCCACGTTTTCGACAGAAGAAGTTCAGTAACCAGAGCTCGCTATTGTCAGGAGGTGATCCTTCCCTATGTGCGTCTGTTCCGAGGTGCAATTGGACCAGACTTCGTTTTTATGGATGACAATGCACGGCCACACCGAACTCCTGCTGTTCAGAAGCTACTGAAAAGTGAAAATATCACTGGAATGGATTGGAAAGTGTATTCCCCTGATTTAAGTCATATAGAAATAAGAAATTAGGGTCTTGGGAGACCTGAGCCATACACCTCGGGACACCAACAATGAAACGATGCATGCGATTGGAATGGGACCTCATTCAGATTTGGACAAGGTGTGGGAGACGGGAAAACACAGAGTAAAGCCGTTATCACATTAGCTGTTTGTTGCCGGGACAAAACGTTTGTAGCAACAGTTCTGAGAAACGGCCTTTGGCGAAATAGGGTTACCATCTTCACTTGGCAAACAGGCTGAAAGCCAAACAAGAATCAGTTATCGCTCAGATTGGCGAAAGTGACGTTTCCTTTCAAGTGACATTCGCTTCTTCGTGTTGTTTTGTATCGCTCACACGCTTTTCGTTTTAAACTTTATTGTTAGTAATGGAAGATAATAGAAAGGTGATTGCTATCAAGTTAATCACTTTGATCTCCACTCTGGCACTTCATGTAACAGATAAACACACTTCTGGTTATAGCAATCAATTACATCAGTAATAGCCAAATTCTGTATACACTCTAAGAATAGTTTAAAAACATGTGCTGGATAAGTCTATTTATCACACATCGCTTATGTGTATTTTCTGTTGTCTGCATTTCAATGAAAATTTGATGGCTCACTGGAAAATTTGTGACCTGGTGAAAGCATTTTCTGACTAACTTTATGGCTCATAATTACTGTTCTGTCCATTCAAATGACAAAAATCTATATGGCTGATATTTACCTCCTCACAGCCAGCAGATACTATTCAGCAAAATGAAGATCAAATAAAGCATATGAATACATGAGCAATCAAACATGTGCGAGTTGTTTACTGTCCCATAGAACACTCGGTAATATACCTAAAACACATTAATTATACCAACTCTAGAAATTAGGTGTTCACATCATGAGTTTGTTTTATGGTTTGATTTATTGAGATTACAGCAAAGCACACTAGGGCTATCTGCCTAAGGGAAGGGATGCCTTCGGGGAGGACTTTCTAAGGGAAACTGGCTCGTATACACGTTACACATGGGGAAAACCACGAAAGCGTCCATGCAGCCAGCCCGTTCGCGGGATTCGAACCTCGGACCGAACTACCAGTGTTCAGCGACTTTACCGCTCGGCCGCTGGTGGGCTCAGTTGGTTTTATGTGATTACCGCAAAGCCTCGAGGGATAACAACAGGAGGGATCCCTTTGTAGAAGATTTTTTTAAAACTGGCTCGTATACCAGTTACAAATGGGGCAAACCAAGGAAACGTCATGTAGCCAGCCCGTTCGCGGCATTCTAACCTGAGACAGAACTACCAGTGTTCAACGACGCTTCGGCCACTAGTAGGCCCGTGCACTTAATTGGAAAGTGCAATTCATTATGTAAACAGACATGAAGGTGATAATCAGTTGTGCGCTGTTTTAAGTAATCAAATGTTATAAATGCACAGCTGTTACATTTCTTATTATTTATTAGTCATGTTTTTATTACGTAGATCATACGTATGATATAATTATGAATTAACCCAATAACAAAATGTGTACACTCTTTAGTACTCAAATACTCATCAATTACAAAAAAAAAAAAAAAAAAAAAAAAAAAAAAAAAAAAAAAAAACTTTTTCAAATACTCATCAATTATTTTTCAACTGATTATTACATACCCATAATAATTTGCAAAGAACTGATAACTATAGTTGCTGCCAATTACATAATCGTTATCTGAATTAAAAGTAACTTCAAATAAACTTCTTGGCAATGTTCATTTTTGTATTCATACATACATATATATATACACATCTAATAAGTCATATATTTACATACAGATAGAGAGATGCGATGGTTTTAGAAGTTGTTAATATATATTTATTAGTATTAATGTAATGAATAAGATTTATATTAATGAATGTATATACAAATGTTTTTCATCATGCATAATAATAAATCCATAAATTTTCAATGTTTCAATATGTAGCATTTACAATAAAAGTATAGTTTCTAATGTATTTATAATCCAAAAAGTATTTCATTAATAACATGAAAATAATAGACAAATTTAATGAGTATTCTCATTATTACATAAGCTATGCTTTTCTTTTTATGCATCTTTTATGCTGTTTAAAATGTGTCACTGATTATGCAGTTAACAATTTAAAAGATAAGTAATTAGGAGAAAAGCCGCGCATATACAAACGGATTTTAAAAAAATTATTCAACTTAAATTTAAGAAATAAAATTCTATTATATAACAGTGTTATAATACACGATCAGCACGAAATACGACAAATTTGGCGAACTTTTGGCTACGAACAATTTGTAAACAAATCCGAAATGCAAGAAGAACGTCGTAAAATACTGTCAACTCTGAAATTTCCGATTATATATTTAATGAATATATACACATTTAAAAAATGACTCAGGCAGTTGTATTACAACAAAACAGCAAAATTAAATCGGCCTCTATTTCCACCGTCCATCACTTCACAGTGAGAGCCATCGCCATATTGAAAGTTACCCGTGATCCTTCAGAAGCTGACCTTTCGTCTGATTGGTTGAACGTTCGAGGAACACGTCTCCAGCCGGAACATTTTGGGAAAAGTTTTAAAATGTTGCTCGTAGCCGGGACACGTTCCTCCTAGCTAGACGAAACATTTCTCGGAAGCCTGCCGCTTAAAGCCGTGCTACTAGAAACTCGTTTCTCGGAATTGTCCCGGGTAAGCGCGCGCGTCTATAGATGTGATAACAGCCTCATATCGGAATACAGACAATCATCGATATATGAGTTCAATTTTTTGTTTAATTCCATACTGATGCATTGTATTCATTTTTGCGCAATTATGCTTTCGTCATCGTTTAAATACAAAATGTTGTCTCTTATTTCTGAATTTCCTGTCTCTCAGATGATATCTCGTGGATTTATGTCAAAAGGAACACCTGTTGCTTAAGTTTTGCACACCAATGTAAAACAAATTTCGAATTCAGGGCTTCCACGTGCCCATATTCTATGGAAGATTACGTTATTCAAATTTTGGATGGCTCTAGGGCGATAATATTTGGTGGCAACTATTTGAAAAGTGAAACAACGCTTATCGTGAATCGACGCTAAATGGCAAAACGAAATTAATAGTCCTTGTGGGCTAATTGCACCCAGTGGCGTAGCTAGGGTGGGGCAAGGGGGGACATCTGTCCCCGGGCGCAACATCCAAAGGGCGCCAAATTGATGCTACGAAATTTTTTAATGAAATGTTTTCCATTCTTGGTACACAGAAAGGGGCACAAATTCTTCAGTTGTCCCCGGGCGCTGGAAACTCTAGCTACGCTCCTGATTGCCCCTTTGGACTAAAAATATTGTTGAGCTCACATATTACTTTTCTTGTGACAAGTGAAAAGTAAAAATTTGCTCCTCAATTTAATTAATGAAATTGCAATGACAACATTACAAAATTATGTCATTTTAATCGCATTTTATAGTTATATGCTTATATTAATTGGGAGGATTAACCATATTACAGCCGAATTCAATTTTTTTTTTTTTTTTTTTTTTTTTTTTTTTTTGTCGTTTCATTTTAGTTTCCAACGTGGTGGTGGTGTGACTCGAAGTGCAAGTGATATAAAGGATATGCTACTTCAGTGGTGCAAAAGCAAGACTCGGGAATACGAGGTATTACTATGTCTTTTATTTTAATTTTGAATCTATTCTTAATTTTCATAGCTCAAAACATTTGAACTGAACCTAATTGTCATGCTAAAACACTGCTACTTTCGCGAAATGATTAGTTTTCAATAAATTACTGTGAATTCTCTCAAATTGAGAAACACAAAAATCTGAAAAAATTCTTCTCTGCAAGAGTTTGTTGGCTTTGCGTACGGCTCTTGTTCTCGGGAATCTGTAAATTTCAACAGATCTCGCAGAAGCTATCCTTATATCAACTCATCTGCAGGATAATTTGGAGTACTGCCAAATTACCCATTGAGTTGATTGAACTTTACGATGACGGTGGTAATGCTGTAATCTGCATTTGCCGTGACATTCAAATCGCAGAGAAATATTTATTTTGATGATACGCAGACGATTCAAATGGCATCAGTGAGCCCACTGGCATTTGGTAGCTGATATTGCCTTCAATTCGATAACTGTGTAAAGACAGTTTTATTCTGGTCATATTTATTTAAATGAAACAATTACATGCTGAATATTTTCAACTCTGCAGAATAATGATAATTTGTTTTCGTTATTTTTATCTGAATAAAAAAAATCACATGCCAAATTTTTCAAATCTATTGCAATTGCCTGTTCATTTTCATTCATGCAAATACAGTGTCTCACAGAAGTGATGGGACACTTGTGCTTTACAAAAGGAAACTGTAGTAAAATAAATTTAAAAACATGTAAAAATTTTTTGTGGGTGTGTTTCATACTTAAATTTAGCTACAATTATTACATAAGATACATTTTCTCAAAATATTAAAATATTAATTTAATAAAAATACAATTGTTTAGAGCGGAGCAAAAAATGGCTCACATAAGTGATGGGACACTTACTTTTCCATCAAATACATTATCCATAAATTTTACTTTTTAAAATGTTTTAATATTTTGTTGGATTTCCTTTTACTTTTAAAACGTGATTTAATCTTCTTGGTATGGATTCGACTAATTTTTTTATTATTTCTGGAGCGATTTTACCTCATTCTTCTTGAAGCACCGATTTTAATTGTTGCTTTGAAGAAATGGCGTGTTTGCGAATTCTTGATTCCAATTCTTGCCAAATATTCTCTATGGGATTTAAGTCTGGAGATTGTGGTGGTGTTTTTATTATTTCAGGACAGTTATACAGCAGCCAGAGTCTAACTTTCAAAGCAGTATGCTTGGGGTCATTGTCCTGGTAGAATTTAAAATCGTTATGAAGATTCAATTTTCAGGCTGAAGATTTCAAATTTTGATTTAAAATGTCAATATACTTGTATTGATCCATTATACTGTCAATATAAACGAGATTACCAACTCCAGCGAACGACATACACCCCCATACCATAACTCCTTCTCCACCATGTTTTACTGTTGGCACCAAGTTCTGTTTGCGAAATTCTTCCCTGGGTTTTCTCCACACCAAGATTCTACCGTCAGAACCAAATATATTAAATTTACTCTCATCAGCAAATATAACTTCATTCCAGTAATCAGAATTCTTATTTATGTTGGATTTTGCGAAAGCCAGTCTGAGTTTTCTATTCTTTTCACTTACGAAGAATTTTTTCCTGGCTGCTCTACCGTGATATCCAGCAGATCGAATTACTCTTCTAATAGTCTCAGGATTAACAATTACTCCATATAATGCTTGTAAATCAGCAGCAACTTTAGGAGCACTCATTCTTGGATTTTTTTTAATATTTCAAACGATAATTCGCTTTATTCCACTGGATAGCTTTGATGGTCGACCAGGTCTTCTTTTATCCTGAATCATATGATTCTTTTTATATAATTTAATGATTTAACTTGTAAACAGTTAACTTGAATAACTCAAGTTAACTGTTTCAGCAGTTTCTCTAATAGATTTTCCACGTTCAATATGCAAATTAATAACTAATTTTCGAATTTCAGGCAAAATTTCTTTTCGTTTAGCATTCATGGCTGCACAGAGCTGAAAAACACAAAATTTCCAAAATAAACTGGAGAGAAATACTGCAGACGATTTTATAAATTATTGCCAATTGCTTTTGAGTAAAAATAAAAACCCCAAAAAATATTTTTATTGTAGTACATAGTAGTATCTAATGGTGTCCCATCACTTATTTTGCCATTTTTTGCTCCGTTCTGAACAACTGTATTTTTATTAAATTAATATTTAATATTTTGAAAAATGTATCTTATGTATAATTGTTACTAAATTTAAGTATGAAACACACCCACAAAAAATGTTTACATGTTTTTTTAATTTATTTTATTACAGTTTCCTTTTGTAAAGCACAAGTGTCCCATCACTTTTGTGAGACACTGTATTTCTTCGTTAAAATAATCTTTTTGCAATCTCATTCTTCTCTCCTTTTGTTAGTTAAATAATTGTGATGATTCTTCAGATCTGACCTGCAATTCTTTTTTTCTCTTTTCTGTCAAACAAAATTCGATCGTCAATCCTTTAAAAATACTGCATCCGAGTTTAGTACTTGTGGCATTTATAATATTGCACATAAGTGTAGTTTCAATGTCGATTACTCAGATTGAGAGAGCTTTAAGATTTCGCAAGAACAAATTTTAACTCAAAAAAGGAAAAAAATTAATAAATCTTTTATCGTTAATTGTTAATTCTTTTACGATTCGTTTAAGACTGATTTTGTAAAATTATTCAAAACACTTTAAGTTCTCAGTTAGGATACCTGAAAACCTTTCACAGACGTCGAATTCTGTAAACTTCAATTAATGATTTTAATTCTAATTTTCTTCTGTTCAGTCTGTCTTGCCTCTTACAGTGATCTTCAGAATCATCAAGAGCATTCGATAAGCCCTGTTTTTTTTTTTTTTTCTTTTCTCTATTTTTGCTTCTTTAATTATGAATCCATTTGTAGGCAACCTAAGGAATGATCCTGCTGGCTCACCTAAATAAACCTTCATAGTTAAAGATAAACAACTTTCTTCAGATTCTTCTGTAGCGAATGCTTTTGCACAGCATTTCTGTAGAGCTAATAAGAAAAACACTTACGCAAAAATACATTCGTCAAGAATTAAGCAAAAAACTACATTCTTGCAATCGGAATTTGAATCTTCTACTGATTCAGTTTTTGAGGCACCCATTACTCGAGAAGACTTGACCTATGCTTTGGGAAGCCTTCCTTCTGGAAAATCACCTGGTGGAGATAGAATCCATTCTGAATTTCTCCACCATCTTGGTCTTGGAACATTTGAGACTGTTTGGAACTTTTACAATCTAATTTGGAACACTGGTACTGTACCAGCTGAATGGCGAACTTCTATCATTATTCCCATACATAAGAAAGACAAAGATCGGAATAGTCTCCGTAACTATAGACCAATATCGCTTACTAGTATTATGGGGAAGTAATTGTGAGAAGACTTAATTATCACTTAGAAACTTGCGGACTTCTTGCCGAGGAGCAGGCGGGGTTTAGAAGCGTCAGATCAACTAACCAACATGTTGCCCTCCTGAGTCAATATGTCAAGGACGCCCTGGATGATAGACAGGTCCTGACTGCAGTTTTTATTGACCTCAAGTCCACCTACGACAAAGTATGGCGGGAGTGCCTTCTACCGAAACTATCTGGGCTAGGCATTAGAGCAAATCTTTTTAATTGGATTAAAGGCTTCCTGTTCCAGCGCTCTTTCAGACTCAGGTACAGGCAAAGCTCTATCGGAAATCTAAGATCTTAAAAACAGGTCTCGCACAGGAAGCTGTTAGTAGCTGCTGCCTTTTTAACATCTATATTAATGATTTGATTTATAAAATACGAGAGATTTCTGGCGTCAAGTGTCTCTTATACGCTGATGATTTAGTTTTCTGGAATGTTTCTAAAAATGAAAATGCAGTGAGAAACATAGAGACCAAACTCTCTGCTGCCTTGAATGCTTTGGAAGTTTTGTGTGATACTAATACTATGGAGGTGAACTTAAATAAATCATACTGCCTGACTTTCTCACTTATGCACCAATCTTTGGATCTTCAGCTGACGTATAAGGGTACGCAAATCCTCTTGTGCGATAAATTTAAATATTTGGGTGTGACGCAAATTAACATGGAAGCCACATGTTGAGGACTTGTACAACCGTGCTACGAAGAGACTCGTTGTCCTTAAACGCCTTGATGAGGCAAGGTGGGGTTGCACTGGACAAACCCTGCACCAAACTTATCATTCGTTTATCCTCCCCCTTCTGACTTATTGCTGTGAACCACTTGTTGTGGCCGTAAAAATGTACTCTAGAAAAAATCCAAAATCAGTGCTTACGTATTGTTTCTGGAGCTGGGAAGACCACCCCGATTGACGCCATGTTCATGTTAACTGGTGATAAACCCTTAAAAACCGTAATCCAAGACAAGGCCTTAATTCTCTGGGAAAAGATCATTAGGGTTCCTGGATGTCTTTCACACTGAAATGAAGTCAGTCAAGATCTGACTAGAAATGTAAAGACCCAGATGGGCTTTCTACAGAGAGTTTTTCAGTTAAAAAATTCACTTGGTTTAATGAATGAACCAGAATTACTTGTTTCACTAGAAAATCCAATAAATTTGAAATCTTCCTGGATTAATCTTGACCTGGGTCAAAAAGTAACGAAACGTAATATGGAACCGTCTATTTTGAGAGCCCTCGCTTTCGATGTATTAAATAATTTTTACCCTGAGCCACACCTTACCCAGATCAGTGGCTTTCGGGATCTTCACTGATGGATCCCTCCTGTCTGATGGCCCTAATGCAGGTGCCGGAGTTTTCTCCGAAATTTTCCATTTCTACATCCCTGTGGGCCGAGGTTCTGCATTTGACGGTGAAATTGCTGCGATTCGTACAGCTCTGCACCAGCTACCATGCCACTTTGAAAAATTCTCAAAAGCTGTTATACTCAGTGATTCCCGAGCTGCTGTGTTGGTTATCGTTTCAGATAAAAATCCCCATATCACAGAACATTGTCGACATTTATAGGATTGTCGACTTTATCTACAAAACCTGGCTTCACTTGAGAAAACTATTGTTCTCCAGTGGGATTCCGGGTAACGAGAAAGCCGACTTCTTTGCAAAAACGGGTGCTTTAATCATGCAGAATATTTTTCGTCCTTTTCCTTTCCATACTGTTAGGAACCTTATTAAAAGACCTATCAAAGTACATGCTCAGAAAGATCTCTATCATCGTGTTTCTCATAGGTCTTGGAAGAATGCTATCCCGAATTTGTGTAATGGCTCAACGCGTAGAGCGGTCGCTGAATTCCGCCTTGCCACCGGACATGACTGCCTACAATATCATCTTCAAAGATTCAAAATTGTCCCTTCTCCGATATGCACTCTATGCAGCTCTGGAGAGGTGATGCCGCACATCTACCCCACTGTCCTGGTCTGCGCAAGACTTCTCTCGCCGAGCGTTACTGAGAGGCAAAAGATATGTTAGATTAATGGACTCTGTTGCAGCTGTTTTTTTCTCATTGTGTTGCTGTATTCTATGTTCTTGTATTTTTGCTTTAACTGTTCATAATATGCCATTGGAAAAAAATAATAATTATGAATCCAAAATCCATGAGAAAATCAATTATTAAGATAAAAACACCACAACGTGTACAATTTCGTTTTAAAATTTAAGGAAGTTCATTTTTTGAACGCCTTGAAGATGCTGAAAATTGCGAGAATAGTTAAAAATTTCAATATGCTGTGCTAACGTGCTAAGGGGAAAATATGCGAGTAAATAACGGTAAATATAAATACACTGGTGTGCAAATATTAAGGACGAGACGTTTTTTCAATATAACTTTGTACAAAAGCTTTCCAAATCAACACATTTAATACCGTAAGATCCCCAATACGAAAGGACATGAGTAATGTAAGCAACACTTCCTAAAAGAGAAATCAGAGGGATATAAAGAAGCTTTATTGAAAAAGTAGCATGGAGCGCAATGCGACTGAAGGCCGAAACATCCCTGTGATGGGTGTCCAGCAAGAAACATCCGGTCTTTAATAGGGGATATGATCTCCCCTGACTGCTAGGCAGGTTTCACAGCGTCTGCCCATGCTGAGAATGAGGGTGTCAATGAGTTGTTGAGGCATTGCTGCCCATTCGTCTTGCAGCGCCAATCGAAGCTCCGGAATCATTACTGGTGGTAAGGTGCTGCCAAGCGTCTGCTTAGAAAATCCCATACATGCTCGATGGGATTGAGATCCGGAGATCGTGCCGGCCAATCCATACGTTCAATATCCTCACTCTCTAAGAGCTGTTCGGCAGCTACTGTGCGATGACATGGTGCATTGTCGTCCATGAAAAGGAACTGCGGACCCATAGCGCCTCTAAAAAGACGCACATATGGAAGAAGAATCTCGTTACAATAACGGGTCCCGTTGACTGAACCTGCATCGAAGATGTGAAGGTCTGTACGACTACCAAGCATGATGCCTCCCCAAACGAGAACACCGCCACCTCCATACCTGTCCCTTTCAATGATGTTCGAGGGATGATTGCAGCTTCCGCGCTCTCTCCAGATGAGTATGCAAAGAGAATCGCTACTCAGACTGAATCTGCTCTCATCTGTAAAGAGTACTCGTCCCCATTCATTGTCTCTCCAATTCTGGTGTTCCAGGCACCACAGAGAACGCCTTCTCCGATGGGCAGGCGTTAGAGGTACACACCGTACAGGGCCGTGATTTGAACCGTGATAGAAAAGGAAAAACAAAATTGATTCATATTCAATAGTTGGTAGAGCCTCTACGAGCGGCAATCACAGCCTCAAACCTGCGGGGCATGCTTTCCTCAAGTCCTTGTATGACAGTTTCCACTCAGCTTGAAGAAGACATGCAAGTTCCTTCATCAATGTTGGACGGTTGTTGCATCTCTTAATTCTGTGATCCGACTCGTTCCAGAGGTTGTCGATAGGGCTCGATAGGGCCGGTCTGGGCTCAAGGCTGCCCAGTCCATTATTTTTGAAAATAACATGTATCCAACCCTTAAAGCTGCCACAAAGTAGGAAGCACTCTGTCATGTGTTGACCTTACCATGAATTTAGACCACGTGTCCATTCGTTCTGAAAGTAACATGTGTCCAACCGGTTAAACTGTGTCAGCGTAGAAAGCACTCTGCCATGCAAAATAGTGCAGCAAGTGTCGGCGTTGACCTCACCATGAAACAACCCCAGACCATAATTTCACCTCTGCTGAACTTTCCGAATACTTACTCAAACTCTTAGAGTATGTGAGCCATCAGTTCGTTTCGGTTCTTCCGAATTTCTCGGACAGCACCCGTCGGTCTGTATCCGCCGGTTTCATGGATCCGCTGATTCAGTGCACATTTCATTAATCACCGCTCGATTTTGGGTAATCCACCTCTCTAGGTATACTTCTTAAAAATCGCCCGTTTCTGTAATACCCGACTATTAAACATTTCTCGAAATCAGATAGTTCTGCACTTCGTGGCATCTTGCATGCGACAATTTTGTTTCCTACGCGATATGTAGCGGCGGTTGGTGTGATGTATATCATCACCGCCGATATCTGCATTTGCATGGATGTCCAAATACTTAATGGTAGATAGTATTATAAGGTATTTCTCTAGTCACCTTAGCATGCCTTCGTGGTGTAGTGGTCATCGAGAGGAAGTCCCGGCGATGGCATTTCTCACTTTTCATCTCTCCTGCTTTCAAAAATATACTTAATGTCTCTAACCGTGTATATGTATATTTATTATTAAGTACATTATACACTTATTATTTAACAAAATGTTAATTTCAAGACCTCATAAACAGTGCCTGGTTCAAATTCAATAAGCTTATGTAGCTCATATACGAAGTTATGCTCATTACGTACAATGTATGAATATGTAAATATGGTAGATCGTTAACAGCTTTTGTTTTTTGCAGCAAGTAGACATAACAAATTTTTCAACGTCATGGAACGACGGAATGGCTTTCTGCGCTCTCATTCATCACTTCTATCCCGATGCTTTCGAGTTTGAATCTCTAAATCCCAAGAACAGGAGATACAATTTCGATCTTGCCTTCAGGACTGCAGAGTGAGTATATTCTGGAATTTGCTGCTGACACCAAAACTTCTATAATAATAGCGTTCATTAACTAAAACATTCATGTGCGGTAAACATCTTAAATAAGCGCTTTCTGGTGGTTAGGAAGGACTCCATATTTTGATTCTGAAATATTTTATAGACAGTTGTTATCTATAGACAATCCTAATGCCTGCAAATTTCTAATCACAAAATTACTAACTTGCCTTGCTCAAATTTGTACAGCAAAATCACACACCTTACAGACTCGCAGTACTTTCCTTACACTCTTATCATTTTTGTTCCTCCTGTAAACGTCAAACAACCTATCTTTCTGACATTTTTTCTGCCAGATGGTCTGCGTCCTTTTATCTAGCAAAGCCACTGACTGGATTCTGTTTAACATCAGTTCGGTTTGTGGCGATTGAGCAAAAATCATCATATCATTGCTTTGGGTTCTGATATTTATCGTTTGCTCCCCTTATTTAATTTTAAAGTTAACCCTTTCCGGCACGCTACCTTTTAAAGTCGGAGTTTTGACTTTTTTTTAAAAAAAAAAAGGTAGGCAGTCTAATTAGGCCTAGAGGAGTACACAAGTAAAATTTTATGAAGATAGCACTTATCGTGCCCAAAGTGACACACTGATTCAATAGAGCTTCAAAAAGAGTGCTGAAACGAGCATTGTTGTCAATGAACTGACCGATGAGATGCGGAGAAACAAAGAATACAGACTCTCAGTTGTCATAGATTATCGGTGAGCCCGGTCTGAGCACACCTAGGGTTCGCCGTTTGATTTTAGGCAAGATTTCAAGGTAAAGATTTAAAACTAATATAGAATAAGAAGATTAGCATACAGCCAAAAAAATAACATAGAAATTTCTTTTTAAACAATTCCTTTTATACCCTAAAAATAATCTGGAAGATTTCTTTGAAAAATGAGGGTCCTAAAAAACTAAATATGGCTAAAATATATGAACTGGTTTGTGTTGAGCTGCCATCTACTATAAATAAAGAAGGTTCAGAGTAACCTATAAATCCTTTTTCATTAACCATAACTTCATTCCGTTGAATCTGAGAGGCTTTTTCTTTATTTTGGAAACCTCCGTCACCCTCAGCACCCACTTCATTATTATTTTTTTTAAATACACTGGTTATCATAAATTAAGGAAAAATCACAAAAATACCGACAACTCCCCCAAAATAAGCCCAACCGTGTAAAATTTGAATATGTGCCAATTAAGAGTAGCTGAGTAAAACTGCAATATGCAAATGAGTGGCGCTGCACTCGGAATACATCATCTGCGAGGAGAATAAAAGTCCATGTTTGAGAAGAAGCCAACATATTTCACTGTGAGAGTGACATCAGAAATTTGGGATAGCCAATTCGTAACAATGACCCCAAGGCATCATTTGCCTGCAGAACTAAGATGGAAAGCCATTCGGAGACTAGAGGTAGGATAAAGTCATCATTTGCCTGCAGAACTAAGATGGAAAGCCATTGGGAGACTAGAGGTAGGATAAAGTCAAACAGAATTGGCCAAATGGCTAAGTGTGAGTCCTTCTATGGTTCATTGACTTTGGAGGTGATTTCAAACCACAGATTCGGCATCTAGGAGGTTAAGCCAACCATCTAGGAGGACGGCCAACTGCTACGACGAGCGCCGATGACTGATATTTGACATTATGTGCACGCAGGAATAGAACCGCTACTCCGACTCTTCTTAGATCCTCCCTTGCTGCAGCCACCAGAAGGTTGGTGTCAACCTCAACTGTGCGTAGAAGGCTTCACGAAGGTGGTCTGTATGCGAGGCGACCAGCCATTTGCGTGCCGCTCACGTCACGCCATAGGAGGGACCGTTTGCAGTGGGCACGACAACATGTCCACTGGACGCCTGTTCTCTTTACGGATGAGTCCAGAAAGCGATAGTAGGCGTTATTTGATATGGAGAGAACCTGGAACCCGTTATCATCCGTCAAACATCCGTTAAAGAGATGCATACGGAAGAGGCAGTGTCTGTGTTTGGGGTGGCATCTCTTTGGGTGGACGCACAGACCTCCATGTCTTTCCAACGGAAACCGTGAATGCTCCGGTTTATAGAGATGACATCCTTGATGCTTATGTGCGCCCATGTGCCGGGGCAATAGGTGATGCTTTCCTGTTACAGGACGATAACGCAGGGCTCGCATCGTAGATGATTATCTTTTCAACAGGAAACAATTATGCGCATGGAGTGGCCAGCTCGATCCCCGGACTTGAATCCTATCGAGCACGTTTGGGATGCTTTAGGGAGACGTCTAGCTGCTCTCAATCCGCCCCCTCAGACCCTTGCCGCGCTTGCAACTGCTTTGCAAGAGCAATGGCTCTCGCTTCCTATGGAACTGATAGACCGCATAATTGAAAGCATCACGCATCGCTGTATGTGCTGTATTGCTTCTAGAGGCGATTATATTCCATATTGAAGGTACTTTTCCTATAGCAAACTGACACCTTCGATTTGTTCATTTTATACATGTGCTAATTTCTATACTACTACCATAATTGTCTGGTAATTTATTTATTTTATTTTATTTTATTTTTTTATTTTTTTTTTTTTGTTATTTGATACCTTACTATATGTTGTATATTGTGGGCAAGTTTCATAAAATTCTACATGTAACCTTTTCAGTAATCGTGATTTTTCCTTAATTTATGATAACCAGTGTAGTTTAACATTATCTTCTTAGCAATATCCACTTTCTTCTTATTGAAACGTTTTTTATTTTAATCTTCTCAATCGCCATTTTGTTATTATTATTTTACGTGATCTGCATTGCGCACTACACGTAAAGGGAGGGATGCCCAATGAAGACCTTTTAAGAAAAACATCCACTTTAAACATGAAGAAAACCACGAAAACACCCATGCAGCCAGCCTGTTCACTTGAACTCTACTGAACTACCTGTATTCAGTGGCTTTTACAGCTCGGCTGCTGGTGGACCTAGTGATCGCCATTAGCGGACAAATATTCAGTCACCTACCAAAATTTTGTCTTTCGTGAAATGTTTCACCCCTTTCGACCACAGGCTTCATTAAGTTTTCACTCCATATTTCATCATACTTCCACCTATGCATATTTACTGAAACATGTGCATTTTCAAATTTCACAGCTAATCCTAACAATTCGCAACTCGACTTGGGAATCTTGGATATGCCGCTATAATCGGAGCAATATTATTTCAATGATCTCCGCATCGAGTTTCCTCCCATATGACAAGTTTTATAACTTGGTCCTTAACCGTTCCTGGTTTACTTTGCTGTACAATTCTTACTCAAATTTCGCCATGTCTGTAACCTCAGGAGACGCTCTTAACAGTGCAGCTTTAAATACATCAAATTTATAATTTTCACTACTTATGAGAAATTTACCAGCAGCATTGTGCCAGCTCAACGCTTGACATCGCTGTGTGGCGGTTGCTATAGCAACCTCACCATTAAAACCCTAAGGCTCATCGATGTTGCAGTAACTTCAAGCCTTGAGAGACTGGGATGAATGTCACGCCTTTTCCAGGCATAATCCGGGACTGTGTAATGCCAGTTGTCGCGCTTAAAGTCTCTAATGCTAAAAAAAATTACCTTCAGAAAGTATTAGACTGCCCAGCGAATTATCCCTCCGTCTGTGTAATACAAATGTGACAAAATATGGTAAAGTTTGTTATTAAACTTGGAATTTAACCTTTTGAAGACGGGATGGCCATTATAGTGGCCATAGAGTCCTTTCTTTGAAAAGACGGGGTCGTCTACTTTAGTAGCCATGTCTTTGTTCCCCATTTTCCAGGCTGAAAAGTGGGGTGAAATGTTAAATTGGACGTACCTGGGGTTTTAACCACTTATCTCTTTAAAAGGTCTTCCTTTTGCGACATAGATGCACCCCTCTGAGAATCCATTAAACTACACTGGTGTGCAAAAATTAAGGACGAAGTCGAAAAATTAGCATATCAGCTGAACGAAGAGGCAGAGCGGACAGAAAGACCAATCGGGAGATTAAGTAAGGTGATGTACGGTAGCACATGCGCAGATATGCAGGTAGACGTAATGGGAGAGTGTCTGAGTAGTGTAAAGCATGTTGTCGGTGTAAGATCAGTATTTCTGGCAAAGACAGTGCACGCCGTATAGCAGTTAAAATTACACCGAGTTGCTGCCTCAGCAAGAAATGGCAAATAATCAATCTGTTAGACGACATCTGGATGCTTTTACCCGAGGTCGAATCATTGGGAAGTTGGAGGAAGGTCGCAGTGTGACAAGTGTGGCTGCAGAGTTCGGAATTGCTCACAGCATCGTTTCACGACTTTGGAGACAATTTCAAACTACAGGACAGCTATCCGGGGGTTTAGTAGTGGTCGTCCACGAGGAACCACACCCGCAGATGACCGGTATATTGCCTTACAGGCCAGAAGAAACAGGCGGCAGACAGCGGGAGAAATCGCTAGACACATGGACACAGGCGACTGGACGACCGATATCGCGTTTTACCGTGGCCAGAAGACTGCACGGTGGGGGTCTGTTTGCCCGACGCCCTGTACGGTGTGTACCTCTAACTCCTGGACATCGGAGAAGGCGTTCTCTGTGGTGCCGGGAACACCAGAATTAGAGAGACAGTGAATGGGGACGAGTACTCTTTACAGATGAGAGCAGATCCAGTCTGAGCAGCGATTCTCATCGCATACTCATCTGGAGAGAGCGGGGAAGCCGCAATCATCCCTCGAACATCATTGAAAGGGACAGGTATGGAGGTGGCGGTGTTCTCGTTTGGGGAGGCATCATGCTTGGTAGTCGTACAGACCTTCACATCTTCAACGCAGGTTCAGTCGACTGGACCCGTTATTGTAATGAGATTTTTTTTCATATGTGCGTCTTTTTAGAGGCGCTATGGGTCCGCAGTCCCTTTTCATGGACGACAATGCACCATGTCATCGCACAGTAGCTGCCGAACAGCCCTTAGAGAGTGAGGCTATTGAACGTATGGATTGGCCGGCACGATCTCCGGATCTCAATCCCATCGAGCATGTATGGGATTTTCTAGGCAGACGCTTGGCAGCTCGTACCTTACCACCAATAACGATTCCGGAGCTTCGATTGGCGCTGCAAGACGAATGGGCAGCAATGCCTCAACAACTCATTGACACCCTCATTCTCAGCATGGGCAGACGCTGTGAAACCTGCCTAGCAGTCAGGGGAGATCATATCCCCTATTAAAGACCGGATGTTTCTTGCTGGACACCCATCAGAGGGATGTTTCGGCCTTCAGTCGCATTGCGCTCCATGCTACTTTTTCAATAAATCTTCTTTTTATCCCTCTGATTTCTCTTTTAGTAAGTGTTGCTTACATTACTCATGTCCTTACGTATTGGGGATCTTACGGTATTAAATGCGTTGATTTGGAAAGCTTTTGTACAAAGTTATATTGAAAAAACCGTCTCGTCCTTAATTTTTGCACACCAGTGTACACACAATAATCTTCGTTGCAAATAAGAGGTGATTTCTTAAAGGGGGGAGAGCATTCGCTTAAAGATTCCCCGTCCTTCGGTAGCCTTTACTGCTACCAAAGCCCGGGCCTCAACAGGTTAAACAGAAGCCACAGCTTTTGGCTGCAATCAAACTTGCGGGTTTAAAACAGACGACTGAAAATAAGGTTGAAAGCAAGGATCGCAGCCGAAGAATACACAATTTGTCCTAACCTAGCCGGCTCAAATTTTAATACGAGTAAAACTACGAGCATCGCTGCCAAAAGCAGTTTTTCTCAAGCATTCAAAACCTTCGCCAGTAGACAGATTTATACTCATTTGCATTTTGGGAAGGGCTAACGAAAAGGAGAAGCAATAGTACAGATCCATATCACTAAAGTTTTGGTTAGTTAACATGAAACACTTTATAATCTTCTTTGGTAATATGTATATGTATATTTTTGCACTTGTTTTGAAGTCTGTTTTCAGGTCAATTTATTACAGTAACTGAAATAGAAAGTAGCATAATCATTTAGAAAAGAACAGAAAACTAAATTGTATTTGTTATGAAAGTGTTAAATAAACACAGAGTTAAGAAAAAAAAAATGTCTGTATATTTCCAGTTCACAAAATTCAGCTTGCATTCATATCTTGAAAGAAAGACTTAGGATATACGTTAGATTTATATATAGCATTCCTCTGATATTTGTATTTTGCTACAAAAGCGGGCTTTTTCTGAAATGATGTGCCTCTTTTATATATTTCTTATCAGAGGCCAAATAGAACTTTTTTGTTTGTTTGACTCGGTGTACATCGTAAATGTATATGCAGTGTATATGCAATGTATATGTTACCGTGAAAGACCGATATTGGAGAATGTCGACTTTCACCGGAGAATATCAACATTCACCAAATACGTCCGTGAAAGACCGAATATTTCACTACATTCTTGTATATTCGGACCCTCACCGGTGTATGTCGACAATCACAGATATGCTCTGGTGAAAGTCGAAAAGAAAGCTCATAAAGTGCCATAATAGTTTAAGTTGTTGCAATAAATAAGATTTGAATTACATAATTTAGTAAGTTTTTATGACTGTTATTTTATTTTCTCATTTAGAACGTACTGTATAATTAAGTACGTTTTTAACTTCTATTATTTTCCTTTCTCATTTTGAATGTATTGTGTGTTTTAGGTTCTCATGGTCTTAAGTTCTTATTTCAAGTTTCAAGTGCGTTTATTCGCGACTGAATTACGGAGAAGAAAATATAATATTGTTATATGTTTAACATTCACCATTAGTACATGGTGAATGTCGACATTGACCGGTGTAAGTCAGAAATAAGAGTATTTGGAAAATATTTCGGACATACACCAACAGACTATGTGAATGTTGACATTCACCGGTGAAAGTCGACGTTCTCCAGATTTCGGTGTTTCACCGTAACATATGTACTGTAACAAAATGAAACTTTTTAATGTTGTATGCTATAATATATTTTGCAATTTTCAATAGATAATTTTGTTACAAAAACTGGTGGAGCTTCTTTTGCCAAGAGCTACCAATTAAAAGAAAAAGGATAAAGTACTGGAGCAAGAAAATAAAAAATATATATATTGAATAGATCGGGGCATGCGTTAAGCATGGAAATATTATTAAAAACTCTTACTTTAATACACAAATTTAAAAAAAAAATTAATTAATTTTTAAAATCTTAAATTGTAATGATCGTTTTCTTATTGGACCAGAGAAATATCGAAGTAAGAAAATAAGAAGTCTGCTTAATTGATTGCTAGATTTGTTTTAGGAAAAATTATCTGTTTCCCCTATGATTTCAGATATAATCAAATATTTACTTTCGATTAAGTTAAACATTTATTAATAATTTGTCTTCTTTGGCATCCATCAAGTGCATCCTTGTCAATTTTTCCAATTTCCTTTCATCTTTTCCCAGTTTCGTCCAAATGGAAGGAACAGAGATGCGCTTAAATCCATTTAAATATTTTGTACATAAAAGTGAAATTTTATTTAAACTTCAAGCATTCATAAATGAAATTATCTGCATGTTTGTAGTACTCTAAGAGAGAAAATTGCATTTATAATATTCATATGTCATTTTGTTCGCAGAGAAAAAGCCGACATTGCGCCACTGCTTGATGTTGAAGACATGGTTATAATGAAGAAACCTGACTGGAAGTGTGTCTTCACTTACGTCCAGAGTTTCTACAGAAAACTCCACGACAAAGACTAATGCAGAAATATTTTGTTCTATACAGAAACTCTAGAATAACTGTTTGAAGTTGTAAATGCGTTGGAAGATTTGTAAATTGGTAATTCCAGATTTGCGTATGACAAGTATTTTACGTGTGTCTATTAGGCACTATTGTTCTAAAAAAGAGATATTGAGGTAATGTACAAATTTGTTTTTAAACCGTATGGAGGTGAATTAATTATCTGCAACGGTTAATGCATTTATCCCGTGTGACATCTGTACCAAGCACATCAAACTTTATCGTCTGCTACTGCTTGTGGTGTAAATTTGAACTATGTCACATAATTATCTTGTCATTATACATATATATATTCTTTTCTGCTTACATCAAAGCAAATTAGATACGATTTTTAGAAGGTCTTTAGAGAAACCTGATACAGAGTACACTGGATATTTTCAACGAAATGCAAAGACAGTGGTTTCCAGTAATGAATAACTTATCAAGAGAAAAATACCATGTTTGCAGAGAGAAACCTGGATTCATACTTAGCATGCATAAGTATACATCATGTTTCTGCTGATGGCTAGTGAAAAGGTAAAATATATGAGATTGTCCAGTCATCTGAATGTTAATGAATCACAACACCTAAAGGATTCTTTAATATTTTACCGCCCACAGTATTTAAAACATCCTATAATTAAAAGAAAAATAAAGTGATTCTTATAAGAGGTAGTAGATTTTCCACAAGGATAAAAAGTTGAAGCTTTTATATTGCGGAAAATTAATTTGTTTAATTATACATATTTCTACCTTCTTTTTACAATGAAACAACCATTTCTTTAAATTAGAGGATCGACGATGAACTAATTTTCTTCTGAAATATATAAAATTTTAAGTTCTTGGAATGCTTTACAATAATTATTGATGAAGTTCTTGTATAATGCTAGTTTTGTCCGTAGCTATAAATATAATGACAGAATGAAAAAGAGATGTGTATTTTTTCTAGATATGGAATTCAGTTTCTAGTCTCCTGAACATGCAGTTAACGTTTGTTACCAATTTCGGAATCGCTTTGAGTAATTATTTATAAAATAGAAGCGTATTTAAAATTACTGGATATGCTAACTGAAAAATCAAACTGAACATTGTGGCCTAAAAATGCAAATTTTAAGCATCGACGTTTCATACAATACTAAAATAGATAACAAAGATACTAATGTACAAGATTAATTATTCTACAAAATTTATAAATTATGAGCATTTCATTTGTTTGTATAATTTCAGAGTATGAAATTCTGAGCAGAATCAGGAATCCAAAATTACATATTTAAAATAACAGCTAAAGGAGAAAGTTTTATATAATGGCATGTAGCTGACTGAAATGTTATTCTGGACGACGAGAAATAAAATTGTCTAATTCTGAAAAGACAACTTGCTGAATGTAAAATGCAAACTCATACGTTGACTGGAAAGGAGATATAATTTCGGCAGTTCGATGTAGATTGTTAAGTGTATTAGGATTGTATTTTATATATTTTTAATGTATATTTTTCATGCTGGTATATCGCATCTTGTTGGAATATCCTGTGTTTGAATGATTTTATGTGTATATATATGTAATGAATGAAAGAATTTTATGTATTATTTCGGAAACCATGTAATTCACTGCTGCATTTGAAAGTCCTGTAGCTCTCAGCATTTAGATAGCATATTTTATTAATTAACATTCTCTGAAAATTCTACTTTTGATTTCCTGATGTACCGAGCGTACATATGTACGTTTAGTACTTTGACTGTCGCGTCACACATATTAGGGGGGCAGTTCTTTAAGGACTTACAAGCTAAAGCGTGTATTTGAAAAAAAGATTGTTGAAAGAAAGATATGAAAAGTACTTAAAAGGTAAAGCAAGCATTTGAAAAAAAATGATTGCTGAAGGAAAGATGAAAATGATTTTTTTCCGACAGGTAAATAAATTCATTCCGTTCGTTTACTAAAACTGAATTGTGCTTTCTTCTCTATCAACTTTCCTTTCTTTCTACACAACCAGTTCTCGTAAAATATAATCAGTAGTATCTACTTCACATTTATTACCACTGCATTTATCAGTATTCGAATCAGAATATGAAGATGTAATTTTGCTCATAATGATATTTCTGAGAGATCTAAACTCTTCCTTACAGCTACTATTCGAATGTTCGTAAGCCTCACAACAGATTTCTCCTTCGCTTCTAAATTCACTTGGTTAAAGCCGAAAAAACATTGCGTAGAAAACAACGCTAGGTACAAAACGTCGCAAGAGAAAACATCGCATTTCTAAAACATCGTGGTACAAAATTTCGTCGTCGAGAATAAAGTGGCTCAAAACCTTCGCTGTTTAAAAACATCGTTGTCGAAAAATGCCGTGGTAAAAAATAACTTAACTACAAATCATCGCATGACGATAACATCGCAGACATGCATTTTTCGGGCTTTAATAATTGTAAATAGATATTCGCGTAACGATTTATGAGCGCAAGATGGAAAGAAGGATAGTTTTTAATTTCATATTATTGATAAACTAATAAACGTTTAAAAAACAGAACAAGAAATACTTTTCAATCTAAGAGTATCAGATTAACAAAAGTGTAGAAAATAATCTCATAATTAACTTTACATTTGTTTTTATAGATAAGGTCATGCAGTTACTTATTCTTTTACAGATTAAACTTTTCATGAAAAATTACCAGTAAAACATTATAAAAAATAATTTATTAATGACCTCTGTTAGTTAACTATGTCAGTTTAAAATTAAGTGATATACGTTGCATTAATTTTCTATGCTTGAGTTTCCATTTTATGTTTTAAGCAAATATTTTAGTTCATTAAAAAATATGAAAGTAAAAAATTATCCTTCTTTTCATCTTGCGCTCACAAATCATTATGCGAGTATCCTTTTACAATCATTAAAGCCTGAAAAATGCATGTCTGCTATGCTATCGTCATGCGATGATTTGTAGGTACTTTAATTTTTACCATGATATTTTCAAAGACGATGATTTTTAAATTGCGAAGTTTTCGAACCGCTTTATTTTCGAGACGATATTTTGTACCATGATGTTTTCTCTTTACTTTTCTCCCTCCATGTTTTGTACCACGACATTTTCGCCTTGCGTTGTTTTCTCCACGATGTTTTCAGCGGACTTAAAAATCACTTACATTTTTCTTTTATGCACTGCGAAAAGCTGGGCAACAGTTTTAACACAAAAAACTTTCAACCATTTGTCACTACAGTTACCTCTACACTGTTAACCTCTGTTAAACTTCAGGCGTCCCCGTCCTCCGTCGCCGGTCACCTGTCACTACAGAGAAAATATTTGGAAAAGAAGAAATAATTTTCGAATCTCACCTTTCTTAGGCATTGAGGAAATATTTTAAACTGAATGCATGTCCCAAATGTTTTGTTCTGGATGTAACCTCTACTATCAGAAAAAATTATTAACACTTGTTCGGCCTGTTATCCTAAAAAACAGTTAAAACAAATGCTGATTTAATTTGATGACAATGGAAAACCTCATTCTACTCATACACTGTTTGAAACTTCAAATATTTTTATACCGTTTTAATTACCTATACTGTGGTTTTAAATTTTGGTTATAATGTAATTCACACTTTTGATAACATTAATTAAAAAATTTGTACTTTGATATCAAGTTTGCTAAGTACTTTTTCAAGTGGGAAGTGATGTGTTATCAATATATGTAGATTCCTATATAGTTTTATTTGCATTAGCTGAAAGTCGTGCAGTAGTAAAATAAATAACTACTGTGTAAAAATATTCAAATATCATCTGCAAACATGTGCTTGTAATTAGCCAAAGACTGCCTATGATAATAACGCATAGCATTCATACTAGTCACCCAAGAATGTTCGAGCTTATAACTTTGATGCTGCATTTTTTTTCCATCTATTTCTGGTGTAATTTTAATGTTCTGTTATGCATGCTTTGTTAGTTTTATATATGTATGCGTTTGACTGTTAAAAACAGTTATGTGAACTATGTTTCATTTGTTAAAAGCAGTTAGAGCTATGTTTCTAACAGCCCATGACTGTTAGAATAAGTTATATGAGTATTTTTGTTATGAATAAATGATGACTGCGTTGTACTTGTTTTTCTTTCGTTAAACATGCTTTTCTCTTTCTCATGCATAAAATGCTAGTACATCTTACTGTCACAAGTACCATTTTAAGTAGTTATATAGGTTTGAACCCTTATTTCTAAAGCAAACAGGATGTCCCATAATCCACTCGTCTCAAACTGAAAATGAACGCAGGATGAATGCACAATCTAAAAGCATCTGACGAGTTTTTTTTTTTTTTAAACCCAAATTAAAAGTACTTTTTTTTAATAAAATTGAACTCATTTTTTTATTAAATACTTACCAAATCATACATAAATAGTAAAAAACGAAAGTCTGAAAGATTTCAGATTTTATATTACACCCAAAAGAGCTTTCCTTAATGTTTCGTGTGTTATCTTATTAAATATCATTAATATTAAATATTATGTTTCATTAAATATCATGTTCTTCGCACTTAAACCACATAAAATTCAACAGCAATTTAACAAAATATTTAAAAACAACAAAATTGCATATCCTTATAATTTCTGGTGCACAGTCTCGCGCGCTGGAAATGAAATTTTTTTTTTCCCCTTACAGTGTTGCCATTGTTCGCTTTGAAATTGTCGAGTTTGTAAATCAAAAATTCGTTACACTTTTACAAAATTTGACATAGATGATAAATTCAAAATTCGGGCTTCTAAGTACCCATGTTCGCTTGGGGAACTGCGTTATTTAAAATTGGGTCTCTCTAGATACTGTTATTTTTTCCTTAATGTGGGAAACATTCATGCAGATTCTTCATTATTTAGTTCCTAATACATGGCGATAATATTTGGTGGCAACAGTGTGAAAAACGAACCAATGCAGAAAGTGAAACGACGCAAAATGCCATTTTGAGACTAATAGCCCTCTGGGTCTAATAATAATGACACAAAGGAAAAATT